TGTTCGGAATTACACAAAAATGTATTTTTTAATTTTTATGAAATATGATATAATTTAGTCTCGAGAATTTTTTTTTTAACCTTTTACATTATTCTTTAATGTATTGTAATACAAGATAGTACAGAACATCTACATTATAGCCGCTAAAAGTATGTATTTGGTTAATTAAATAGCATCTATGTTATCAAACTGCAGTCTTAAAAAGATAACTTAAAAAAAAAGGAATGGTATTTGGAGTATTTGGTGGTTCTTTAAAGAATTTTACAGGTAATTCTTTAACATTTTAATCATAAAGTATTCTTATAAATAATTTTTTCACCTTAACATATTTCAATTATTAAAAAAAGCCACCGAATTAGGAGCTTTCGCAGCGTAAGCAGCGATAGCAAGTTTTAAAAAAAGGTTTCAATCAATTCAGTATTCTTTGGAAATGTTTTACAAACCGATAATACAGCTCCATATCTAGCTCGTCACGTAGGTTTCAATTCAGTATTCTTTGGAAATATTTTATAAACTAATAATATAGCTCTATATCTAGCTCATCATGTAGGTTTAAAGCCTGGTCTACTGATCAAAATACTAGTTTTAACTATAAATCGACTATGTAGATCTGGTTTTCAAGTTGTAATTAACGCAGTTCAAGAAATCGGATTAGGTTTCAAATATTGGTACCAAAAATATGAGTAGATCTTTTTATACTTTATCAGTTGATCCAAGATGGAAAATCAGATTTGGTTTAGATTTAAAACTTGAAGATTCTTTAGCAGCTTGTTTAGTAGATCAATATCCTACTAGAACTCCAATAGATATCACTGCAGAAAATTTGTCTAAAAAAATAACATTACTCGTGAACAAGCTGATAAGTACACTGAATTAAATCAAAAATGTTAGGCTGATAGTAATCATATTATCTGATTTGATCTTATATTTCAATTTTTTATTTTAAAAAAAAATTTCATCTAATTTTGCATATTTACAGCTGATGCTGCTGGGTGTTTTTCTGATGAGATAACACCAGTTGAAGTCAAAACAAAAAAAGATCTTGCATTATTTTCTAGAAATGAATATCCATGTTCACAAACAATTATCTAAATATTATCTAAACTACCTTTCGTATTTGTTAAAGATACTGGTGTAGTAATAGTAGATAATGCATCAGGTATTAGTGATGATGCAGGGCAATTATTGTAGTTAGTGAAGATGCTGTAAAAGAACATGAAATAGTTTCTTTAGCACGTATTGTTAGTTACTCTGTAACTGGTATAGAATCTATTATTATGGGAATAGGTCCGGTACTGGCAATTAAAGAAGCATTAAAAAGAGCCAATCTTAAACTTTCAGATATTGGGCTGGTGGAAGTCAATAAGGCCTTTGCTTCTTAATATTTATCTGTAGAAAAAGAATTGGAACATGATCGTAATATCACAAACTCTAATGGTGGTAAGTATATTTGTATGCTATATAATTTATTTCTGAAATTTGTGAATCTTACCACAGTATTAACTAGACCTTTCAAATTTATTTACTTCTTAGGTGGTAAGTGCTTATTTCGCTTTTAAGATTTACACTCTAATTCTTGTAAGTCTATATTAATCTACTTTATGATTTATCCTTGTAACCATTGCTCTTGAACATCCTCTAGCTGCATCAGGATCACATATTTTAGAATATTTAACTTATCAACTCCAAAAAAAATAAAATAAAATATACAATTGGATCTGCTTGATTGGTAGTAGTTAAGGTAAGCTGACTATATACCATTCCTAATCTAAAAACTATCAAAATTTTATAAGCTTATCAATTTTTTTTTTTTCTAGGAATTGCTATAATTCTTGAACATGTTTAAAATTGTTGAAATTGTTGAAAAGTATTAGAAACTGATAATATAAACTTTATATTTTGTTTATAGCATTATACGAGACATTTTGTTTTATAAAATATTAAAAAGAATTATGCTTATCATGTTATTGTTTGAAATAAGATTAGCTATTTGATTTGATAATAAATTATTTAGTACAAGAATTTAACTCGATAAAAATTTGGTTCCATAAAAAACAATGTCTGAAAATTGTCTTATTATTTAATTATTATAATTGTAAATAAAAATTTTTCCCACATTATATAATTTACTATATAAATCTTTGAACTCTGTCACTTTCGCTTCTCAAATAAACCCATTCCACAAAAATAAAGACAAGGTTTTATAATTTATATATGCATAAATTAGAAATTCAACAATTAATCTTTCTATACTAGGTTGCTTAATATTTAGTCTGTAAATATAGTATGAAATTATAAAATATCTGAATTCTACTTCTATGATTCAATCTGTTTTTTGCTCTATATATTTCTTATTATAATTAACTTAAAATATTCAAATTGGGTTAAGTCTTTGCTTAATAATAGAATATGTAACTATACTATTTCATATACTATATTTTCTATATTTCTTTACACTGCTTTTAATAAAAGGCAAGTTATTAGATAGTTTAATATCTTTCTATCTTCATTGCAAATAATATATATATTAGAAAAGTACAAATTAGATTAGAGCTCTAATTCAAATCAATCTGTTATCTATTTATCCAATAAGCTATATCTGGATTAACTGAATCATCTGATCAGAATTACATAATTTTGGTACTATTCAATTCATCTAGATAAGACAAATTAAATAGTACTACAATCATATAATTTCGATCACTAATTCGTAAAATAATTAATTTTTTGTTAAATTATTTTTTTGTCAAATTTCATCTAAACTCAACTTTGATATTTCAAAATATAATCAAGCAAATGCTAACTTCAAGTACAATAGTATTACTGTTCATTTAAAAAGCTTTATGCTTTAATAGACTGTTTAAACTCAAGTAATTAACAATAAGTAGATATTATATTAGATAATTTAAATTAAATTTAAGACAAAGAAATGTGAAAGAATTGGTCTGAGAACCAAAGATCCTACTGCTATTAGGATCCTGAAGTTTATTATTAGATAGTTTTATTATTATAACACTTTACTTGTTTTCAGATATATAAAATTGATGCTTATTTATATATTACAAAGAGCTTTGGGATAAAGGCCTGCAAATTTCTAATTTTGTGACCCACAATTAGGGTTAAAAATTTTTGCTAGACCAGCCCGGCCTGCAATTAGGATTAAAAAATTTTTGCCAGCTTGGCCTGGCCCACTTTAATAAATTTAAATTTTAGACCTACTTAGCCTACAAATATATAAATTTTAAATTTTTCAAAATTTAAAATAAGAATAAAAATATTTATTAGGTAATTTTTATTTCTTAAAAAAGTAATCTTCTTTCTTTTACTAATATTAAACAACCAATCATATTTAAATAAATAAAT